TCTCCATATCAACCAAACCTCAATTTGAAAATGAGAAAACTGAGACTGAGAAAAGTTAAGAAACATGCTAAGGGTCATGAAATATGCAAGTAATGTCGGGCATCTCCAAAGGGGCTTTCAATAATAAAGATAAGGAAAGGTCCGAGGCAAAATATTTTATTTATTCCCAATGAAGGCCAGGTTGAGGGCTGGCTTAGTGTCTGAGCCAAGTGGGTCTGCTAACTGAGCCTGTGAAATTGGCAGACGCCCTGCCCAGAGGCCAGCATCTCCAGCCCAGGCGCACCCGTCACAGAGATGGATTTAGGGAGCAGAGGAGGATGTCTGTGCTCCATGACCAAGCTCAGGCCCAAGAGGGTGAAAATTAGATCTGAGCAGAGCCTTCCCAGCTACCTTTCCCACATTTACCACTCAGATAAATCACTCCACATTTTAAGGGTCAAAAGGAATATAAAGGGAGAGGGAAAGGCCCAAGTTACACAATGGAGTTGCCATTCCAAGATGGAAAACTTGCGAGTGGGAAAGAAGTGTTCTCCGTTAGCAAGTGGCAGAGGCGATTTTCAGATCCAAGTCTGTGACTAAACTTCAAAGTCAATGTTTTCCATTAAACCCTGGGAACACCCCTACTTGCTGTGGGGAACTCAAGAGCCAACTTTGTTTCATCTCTTTTAACCATCATCACATGTGATGTCCTATTTATCATTTTAAATGTCTATTTGATCCGTAACCAAGTAGGGGAAAGCTCTTTGTTGGTACCATGGTGCCATGCACAACATTTTGAAATTCATAATGTTTGTGAAAGTAAACAGTTCAAATTTCACATTTCAGCTTTAAGTAAAGGCCAATCTGTAGAAATAAGTATTCAGAGATGGGTCACTTGGAAATGAAGCCACCAATTCATTCTCTTTCTGTAAAGACCATAGGCTCTGTTGAATTGCTGTATTTTTTATGTAGGTGGATGCATTGCAGGAAGAGCATTTTGTGTGTCTGTATTGAGGTTATTAAAATTGTTAGGTCTTCCCATAAACCTAAGCAGACCTCTATGAAAAACAACACTGGGACATGGAGCTGATTGTTTTAAACAAGTATATTTGTTCATTATCCATCTGTTCATCTGTGTTAAGACGGAGTTTCAGTGAGTGGCTAAGGGTTGGGAGGGGAAAGGAGTTGGGAATAACTCGAAGGGGTGTGGAATCCCAGTGTGCTGGCATACTCCGGCTTCGATAAATATTGCATGATGGTGCTGATACCTTTTTGTGCGATATATTCATTGTTTCAATAATTAATGTCACCAGTGCATGTTTCTAAGCCTGCCACAGGTAAATAATTTACTGTAATTACCAAGGAAGAGTGATATTATTTATTTATTAGAACTTTAAAAAAAATAAAAAGGGTCCTTTGTGAAAAGTAACCTCAGGGCCTCAAATGCAGGAGTTGCAGTTTGCTGAAAAGTAAAGTTAGCAGCGCCACCCACTTTCTATTGAATATTTTGTCCTGCTCTGAAGCTAGGTTACTTGGGGTCTCCAACAGTCAGTAAAATGGGTAAATAAGGCCAGACTAGAATTAACACCTAAGCTTCGGTTTACCCGCATAGAATGTGGGGACTTTCTGAAGTGATGCGTTGCTCTGTTGGGGTTAGGACCTCGGATCTGTGGGCCCCTATTAACACCATTCATTGCACATTCGTCCACTGGATGTGTCTTCTCTCACTGAATGCTGAGAAAACTGTTTCTCATTCATGTTTGTATTTTTCTAGGATCTAGATAGGATAGTGGCTTGCACATAAGTGCTCTACAAATTTTTTTTCCCCCAATTTGATTTCCCAATTTCCCAATTTGATTTCAGGGCTTTAAAAAAAAATCTTAGTAATTCAGAGTAATTTTTTAAATTTTAAGCGTTATTTAAAATTATCGAAGTTTATACAAGCCATTAAAAAGTCTTGCCATTTTATAAGACATACTCATCATTAGGGGGAAAAATTATCTTCTCTCCAGAGACAAATGCTTAGCATACCTTTTGAGACCTTTATTATATGCTTTCATGTCTCTTCTTATTGGCTTTTCCTCATGTCAGGAATTTTCTTTTTATTGACTCACCAAAATGGAGGATGAAGCTCTCATTTTTAAAACAACTCTTCTCTCCCGCTGTATATACTTCCCATCCGCCCCCCACTCCCCCTAAGCCGTTGTATTTTATTTTGGTTATACCAGTATGTGTTTAATGCGTCTATTGTTATGCCTACGTCATGTTATTTACAGATACGAAGTATGTTATGATTGCATTTTCTCTTTGGTACAGTATTTGTTTCCCCTAAGTTTTCTCGTTTGGTTGTTGCTCTCTGTACAAATCACTAGTCCAACCCACACACTCCTCCCCAGTTGTGAAAAATCTCCTCTCCGTATGTTCGCACTTGTTAGGTGATCTATAAATTTCATCTTCTGAATTCATCTCCCCTGGAGCTTTCTTAGTGGTCACGTTCCTTGGAGGCCCCTGTAAGGAGCCCTCCTGATTCCTCCTCCATCGTCACCATGGAAAGTCCCTGTTTTTGAATTAGACCCTATGTCAGTGATGGCGAACCTGTGACACGCGTGTCAGAGGTGACACGCGAACTCATTTTTTTGGTTGATTTTTCTTTGTTAAATGGCATTTAAATATATAAAATAAATATCAAAAATATAAGTCTTTGTTTTACTATGGTTGCAAATATCAAAAAATGTCTATATGTGACACGGCACCAGAGTTAGGTTAGGGTTTTTCAAAATGCTGACATGCCGAGCTCAAAAGGTTCGCCATCACTGCCCTATGTCTTACTTGGTTTAAGCCTCTGTTTTGGTGGAGTATATCTTTCAATAGTTTCCTTTGCAGAGTGCATCACATATGTATCTTTTTATGAGGTTTCATATATCTGAAAATAATTCTATTCTTAATTTTCATACTTTTTGTTCATTTGGCTGGTTATAGAATCTTGGGTTGAAAATCATTTCCTCTCAGAACATTGAAGGAATTGCTCCATGGCCTTGCCTTTAACTTCAGTTTTTGCTCTTAAAATCTGGTGGAAGTTTGTCACCTGTGACCATTTTCCTCTCTAAAATTTGGAGAATCATTCTGTTCCTTCGAGTTTGGAAGTGGGGTTTATATTTCTCTCTAGTTCTGGTCATTCTGTGGGTCCTTTTACTCTGGGAACCTGTCGTCAGCTCTGGGAAATTTTCTTGAATGATTTCCTTGACTTCTTTATTTTACTATGTTTCTCTTTTTAGAACTTTTTTTTTTGGAGAGGGACAGAAGATTTGAAATTCTAAACTGATTCTCTGCTTTCTTACATGTTCTCTCCTATTTTTTATTTTAATCTTCCTCTAATTTCCAGGCATTCTTTTCAACTTTAATGCTATCATATTTGTTACTATCTTTGAGTTCTGTCATTTAATGGAGCATCAGTAGGAAGCAACTCTTGAACAGGACAAAAATTGAGATTGATCTTATTTTTGGTCTGTGGGATAATATCTTATATCGGATTTAAAACGTTCTTAGCCATTCTCTATTCAAATATAACTTTTACTTTATTCTCCTCTTCTAAATTACACTTATGTTAAAATTTTTCACTGTGTTGCACATGTCTCATACTATTTTCTATATTTTCCATTCTCTTTTAAAAACATCTATCCTTCATTTTGTATAGGTTTCCATTTATGCTTCCAATTCACTAACCCCATTTTCTGTTGTGTCTAGTCAGGAACTAACATTGTATTTAGAACTGGACAAATGCCCATTTGATTCTTTCTTACATGTATTCCATACTGTGTTAAATTATCCTCTTTTTATTTTCCTTTTTTCTCTCTCCTTATTTTCTTAAACATATTAATCATAGTTACTTCAAGTTCTTATTAGCTTACTTCAAAATGTAGGATGACCCGGAGTCTATAGTATCTGGGTGTGTTGTGTTTTTTTCCTGTTTTTGTTCATGTGCTCTTGGCCATGCCTGGCAGTTTTGTATTGCGTGCTGGACATGATGTGTGAAACAGATGCAGACGCGGCACGCCCGATGCTGCTCTAGGCCTCCACGGAGGATTCACCCTCCCTCTGCTTGGCAAACAGTGGTGGCTGGTTATCTAATCCTATCAGGAGTCTGCTGAAATGAGGCTGATTTGCAGCTCTGCTTAAGTGGAGACTGCCTCTGGTTTGTCCCTGGTCCCTTGGGGTCTTTACTTAAAACTCTGGTGTGATTTTCCAGTCTCCTCTCCCGACAAGTCCCAAACTCTCAATCTGTTTCTCATGAAACTGCCACAAAGCTCCATGAGCCTTTCGGATTTTCTGGTGAGCCTGTTCTGCACAGCCCCAGAATTCCACCAGTGTCCTAACGGAGAGCACGCTGGAGGCGTCCCAAATCTCCACCGAACTCCTTTGATTTTTCTATTCCCCAGCAACAGCCCCTGCAGGTACAAAAGCCCCCATTCGGTCTGCACTGGGAATTGAGAAATGCCCCCGATTTAAAAGTGGCAACAAAACGCCAGCATGAGTGTTGGAGACCTTCCCCTCTCCCAAGTCCAGCTCCTCCAGTTCATGCCCCAGCTGTTCTCTGCCGCACTCAGACATGATTTCCATATTTATCTGACTTGGCGGCGGCAGCAGGCTACTCTGCCCCACTTGGAGACAGAAGTCGTCAAGACTGAATGTTTTATTTTCTTTTTGAAATTTGGGAAAGAATTTTACAACTGTTGTAGGATTAATTTGAAGATGTGTTGAAGTGCTTAAAGGCATGGTTAGAATTATTCCTCGATTCCTCTTGCTATGCCAATTACTCCAGATGCTTTCTTAAAGGATTGAAATAACCTCTGTTTTCCAATTCTTGAAATGTCTGTGTAGACCGGTAGTGGAGTGTATATAAGTTATTTATTGTGAATGTAGACTACCTGGACTGATAGAGACATACAGGTATATTTTGTAAGTGCAGAGAAAACCAATGTCTTGTGTGGGTTGTTGATGCAATCTATCATTTCCTTTTTCAGCACCTAACATTCACAAGAGAATTTGACTCAGATTCTCTTAGACACTATAGCTGGGCTGCAGACACCTTGGACAATGTCAATCTTGTCTCAAGTCCTGTTCATTCTGGGTAAGTAACCTAAAAGGCACTTTTCTTTATCCTGTGAAGCTAGCATTGCATTTAATATTTGCGGTTGTGAACTCATTGACAAACTTCATTTGTATGAAATATTGATCTTCTATAGGACTTCATTAGTGAGTGTATGTATGTGGCATACTTAAATCATTAGTGAATATTTTTAAGCAAATGTGTGTATCTTTTTTTATTAATAGAGAAGCACAGTGTTAGAAAGGAAATTCATTAAAGTTTTGGTGCCTAAAATTTTTCTGGCAATGCTGGTACATTTCTAGGTCTTTAATTTTCCTTGTCAACTAAAAAAATTAAATATGTATAGTCATTTCTCTTAATTTTACTTTATTCAAATGAAGTTTTTCCCTAAATATCTGATCTGATATATATATATAAATAAAATCTTTCTATTAATTTATCTCATTGTTTTGTTACCCACCTTGTTAATTTATACTAATTTATCTAATTGTTTTGTTACCCACCTTGGGGTTCTTGGGTTCCCCAAGCTTATGCTCAAGCACAAGGGAGGCAGCACGGAGGGAAGAAAGGGCCTCTGAACTGACTTGGGGACTGGCTCTGCTTGGCTGATTTTATAAGCTGGGGACAAAGTGGGCAGAGTTTTTGAAAAAGGCGGGCTTGGGGAATTTTTCATTTCAGGGTTGGGGGACTTGCCTTTCCAGCCGCCTGGCCTGTAACTGCGTTTCCACTTGCAGCTGTGGGGGCAAGGTGGCAGACTGCTCATTACTGCCGCCCTAGGAAGGTCCTCTAGAGTCAAAGCTTGATCCACTGCGCATGTTTAAGCAGGCCAGGGAGACAGTCAGCTGCCTCTTCGTTCTTGAGTACAGAGTAGAGGGTGGTGACATTTTTGTGGTCAGCTTATCACAAAATCCATGAGACCATCTAGTCTCACCTTGGCTTCATGGCTACTTGGTATTTTCTGTCCCCTGACTCACACCCCTGTGCTGGTCTCAGCTTGCTTTGACGCTTTGCTTCAAATGATAGATGGATTTCACTCAAAAGTTTAGTTTTTAAATAAGCAGTAAACTCTGGTGTTCTTATATTTTTCTCATATGATATAGGCCTCTGATATGACAAATGATCAATTTTGTGTGATTTTCCTTTAAAAAGAAGATATAAACTTGAAACCTCTAGATCAGCGGTTCTCAACCTGTGGGTCTCGACTCCTTTGGGGGTCGAACGACCCTTTCACAGGGGTCGCCTAAATACATCCTGCTTATCAGATATTTACATTATGATTCATAACAGTAGCAAAATTACAGTTATGAAGTAGCAATGAAAATAATTTTATGGTTGGGAGTCACTACAACATGTAGTGACTGTATTAAAGTGACTGTATTAAAAGTTTTGGAACTGTATTAAAGGGTCGCAGCATTAGAAAGGTTGAGAACCACTGCTCTAGATCAAGTTTGGTCCCCTTCTGCATTCCTGAAATGAAGTTATAATTGTGTTAAATTACAATGAGAAAAGAGAAATGAGTTTTTGAAAGGATATAGAGAAATCCACTTTTTAAAAAATGAATGTGCCACCGTATGTCCATGAGAAGTACTATGGTGAGAACACACCAAACAGGCCTCACTGCCCCCGCCAGCAAAATTTGAGGCTGGTGCTAAAAGTTGAACTGCTTCGACTGCTAAATTGATAATCAGTGTATTTTTAGATAATTGGATTCTTTACTTATAGGTCATCAAAACCTGGGGTAAGTGTTCTCGGTATACATGGAATAGAAATAATGCATCCGATAGTGAAAATAGTTCAAGGTATTTTCACCTCTGAAATCGGCACGTAGGCCACACATTAGTTGTGATCCAGGACAAAGGCTGACTCATTTGGAATTAAATAAATGATCAGTCATTAACACTGTAGTGCCTTATGTGTTTCATGAAGTGTTTGCTGCTGCTTTTAATTAAAATAAATTGTAATAGCTAATTTACCTTGTGCTTTTCATGTACCTGGCATTGTGCTAAATGTTTTACATGTATGGTCTTATTTAGTATTTATTTGAGCTAGAATGACACGGTGAGAGGTTTTACTCATTATCCCTGTTCTACAGATGAAAAGTCTGAGATTCAGAGTAATGCTTCAGGTAATTTACAGCATTCTATAGTATTTATAGTAGTCTTATGGGGCTTAGCTTGGAACACCACAATTCTGAAAAACAAAAGTGTCATTCCAATGGCAATGATTTACATGAAAATGCTGTATGTATAGATGATAAACTACATGATGGTCTTTGAGTCATTAACATTGTATTTAACTAAATTAGAAAAACCTTCAATTATAGTAATGGTAATTATTAAACAGCTAACAATATTTATAAAATTTCTAGTAGATATACGTGAGTCTAAAATTGCAAAAGCAAAAACAATCAGAGTTGAGAAGGAAAATGTAAAATACTTGGCATACATTTGGTGGGCAGACATGAAGAGTTTTTGGAATCAAGCTTGGTGAATGTCACCGTGTTACAAAGAACTTTGTGCCCTCTACGTGGGAAAGAAAAGTACTAGCCATTAATTTATTAAACTGAGAGGCTGAGGAAGCATAGGATAATAAAATCAGAAATGAACTTTCGAATACATTAGAGACAATGAAGTATTTGAATATGCAAATGATCTCTGCTCCTTGAATTAAAGTCAATAGACATGTGCAGGAAAGCGAAAATAATGACAGCTAATATGGGCTTATTTGAAAAGAAAAATGTAGACTTGGTATATACTTGGAAGTAGTTCATTAATGCTAGGCCTATGGAGTAGCTTGTTTATGGCAAGTATTTTTCCAGGTGGTCCCACAAATGCCAAATGCTTTGGTTTCATGTTCTGATGGTTTTTATTTTTCTTTTGCTTATCATTGACATTTTCTGTTGCTTGCTTCTAATTATCTTACATTAATTTTTCCCATTTGCTTTCTAAATTATTTTGCAGCTATTCTTCTCCACTTCCTCAGTATGATTCAAGGTGATAACTTGTCCTTTATGTGAACCATTCTCTTTTGTATTTTTAATTTATGTGAATCCCCCTTCCCCCACCTCCCGCAGATAGATTGTGTCAATGTCTGTAGTGTATCAGCATTTGTCATCTCGCTGTTCCTAAAACTAGAAATATTCATGTGTTAATTTTAGGATCATTTGTAGAATTCCTGCTTTAATTTAAATAATAAAAGATACAACACACATGATTAAACATCACCTTTTAATTTGTTTCTGTAAGTTATATTGCATGGAATTTTATTTTATACAGAATATGTAAGGAATGAGTTTGGAAAACAAATCACTCTAGTTAATAACGTGATTGAATAATAGAACCCATATTCTGCCTAACATGTACTCCCACCTTCCCCAGTCTGTGGGCTCCATAAAGTTGAAAACCCTAGAACAATATACAGTTGGTCATGAGCTCCAGCTCCGCACGGGGTGCTATCAGAACACAAAGAGGCTCTTCCAGTTTGTCATTAAAATCTCCTAAGCCATGTTTCTTTTTCCATTTGGTTCTGATATTCTTTGTAGCTGGGATATTCTTATATTGACACTGATTACCTTCTTACACTACCTTCAGACTACTTAGCTACAAATGCTATTTTATTTATATATATATTAATAACCAAGTCTGGCCTAGGCAGTTTCTTAGCACGCTTAACAAAATAGTTTTGTTCGTTAGTTCATTCAGTAAATGCGTCTTGTGTGTAGGAACTGTGCTCGGCTCTGCAGGAGGAGCCGTGAGCAAGGCAGACCTGATCTGAATGACTCTCTGTCTGTCTCATTGAGACTCAGCTGCTTGTTGCCAGGGCATACATTGCCCTCCCAGTGTAAACACCCCCATGTTTATTGTACTGATACAACTGCATTTTCAAACCCAGAGTTAGTATTGAATCATTTTTTTCATCCATTCTCTTCCTATGATTCTCAATCACAAGTTGGTTTTCACCGTTAACTGCTGGGAGAGATCAGATTTTGTCTGAGACTTCATTGCCACATTATCTTTGTTACTGACTAAAAGTGGTCGTTAAACATGTACAGGTGTAAGAAAATGTAGGCGCCCAGCGTAGGTTCGTGAGCTTTGCATCATCTAGCACTGGAGACAGTTCGTGTGGATACGTGTGTAAGTGAACACGTATCTTTGACTAGGAAGGAGTGCTTTTTTGTTTTGTTTGTTTTTTTGAAGGGGTCCATCTCTTCCCCTCAAATGTCACAGTGGCCCCAATCTCTCAAAGTAGGTATAATGTTATGGAGAACATAAATTAACTCAGAAGAAAATGGCTAAATCCAAAATGAGCAAAAGGGCGTGAAGTTGATTCCGCCCCACTGATGACCAGTAACGGTTCTGAAAATTGGATTGGCTAAAAAATGACCTCCGTGTGTCTCTCTCCATGGGGATAGCAAGTCAGTTTGCTTTATTGAAGAGGTTGCTGGTCAAGCGGCTAACTCTTTAGGAAAGGGTCCCCAGCAAGGACCTCCAGCCAGGGTCCTCAAATCTATTTGCAGGATATTAGAACTGTTTTTAGATGAATAAATGATAGCGGATTTTGATGGATGGGATAATTTTTTCCCTAAAATACTGTAGGTAGTCAAACAATTTTCTCATCATCCACATTTAATGCTGTTCCAGTACCAAGCACATTTTCACATGTGAACATGAGAGTGCGCAGATCCGCGTTTCTGTTCACCTGTCTGCCGTGCACCCCTCCGTGTGTCGAGTTCAGCACTGTGGCTCTGGGGGGAGAACTTGCCGGAAGACTCTTGCCCTGAGCACGCGACAAGAATCGCACATCGCAATGTGCTGTTTCCCTGATGTGACAGTTAATTTCCTTTACATTTTCATATTTTTCTCATTAGCTTTAATGTAGAGGTCAATGACAGAATTATGTAGTTGAGAGATATTTTCTAAGAGGCCTAAGTGATGATATTTGTATTGCTGTACAAATACTCAAATGTAGGTTATTTTAAAGCCAGATTTATATTTTAAAGAAATCAAATCCCTTTCCATCAAAATTGCCTTAGCGACACTAGTTATCTTCTGCTTTTATTATTATATTCTGCTTTGTGATAGTAAAAATTAGAGTGCTGGTCTGAGTAAATATACATTCATTTTTATGAACTGTACGTGTTAAGACATACTGTGGAGTTTCATCTTACCTTTCAGGGCTAGAGATTCCATAGTCAGCAAATGGCTACAACTATTTGCAGTTAAAATGATCCTTGAGTATAGCTTACAACACCCATAAGAGACCACATCCGGTGGTTTTGTTTTTTGTTTTCAAATGCATGACCGTCCTTTAGCCGGTTTTTATTCCCGTTTTGGAACCGTCACTGTTCCTTCCCTTTGAGCCATTGACGAAGTGGTTGGCTTCTCCCAGGGGGCCGTGTGCCACCAAAACTAAGTTGTCGTGTCTCCTTTTGTGCCCAGTTCACAAGTTAAATGCATGTTTGATGTGACTCCACCGTATTGACTTCCGATTTATTTTTAAAGAGAGGAAATGATAGCTGCATTGTCTGTCACTTTAAACTTCAACGTTTAATTTCAAAACCTCCTCTGGGAGATGGCTTATTTCTGTCCTTGATGTGGCCTCTGATCTTCTCCCTGCAGGTTTCTCGTGAGCTTCATGGTGGATGCGAGAGGCGGCTCCATGAGAGGAAGCCGTCACCACGGGATGAGAATCATCATCCCTCCACGCAAGTGCACGGCCCCCACCCGAATCACCTGCCGTTTGGTAAAGAGACATAAACTGGCCACCCCACCCCCCATGGTGGAAGGAGAGGGACTAGCCAGTAGGCTGGTAGAAATGGGTCCTGCAGGGGCCCAATTTTTAGGGTAAGTTATTGTGTCGATTTTAACCTTGGCCCTCATAACCACATCTTTGATTTTTCTTTACCCTTAACTTGAGGAGTTAGCTATTAAAACGGCTTAGTTGGACGGGGATTGAGTGCAGCTTTTGTGTAGTGTCAGAGGTCACAAAGCTGTGTAAGTCTGTGAGCTCATAGGCTGATCCTCCCCTAACTCAGTTTGCTGGTCAAAGCTTTTACTAACCCAGAAGCATGTTCTCTGCTCAGTGAGTGCACGGAACCCCAACGCCACCCTTAGGGTCAAGGCACCATTCTTAGGGAAAATAAATATGGGTGCTGGAATTTTATCACCACGTTGCATAAATGGCTACTTTGGGTACATGTTCTTTTATGAAGATCACTGCTAGGGGAAACAATCCATTGTGATATGGTATTTTACAAAAAGAAACACTAAATTGATTTCATTATCTGAGGTGGCACTTGGGTGCAAATCAGGCAGGCTCTGTCGTGACGGACAGTTTGTTCACGGTTTCCCCTTCTCGTTTCTCTTCCTGCTGCATGGATCTTATTCAGTAAACTGCATCTTCCCACCCATCCTCCCCCTGTAACTGAGGGTGAGAGCTTGGTTAGCCGAATCCTGCAGCTTGGGCCTCAAGGAACAAAATTTATTGGGTAGGCTCTTCATAGACAAGATACAGAATGTCTACAATTCTTTTTCCATTTTCAATTTTTTTCTGTCACACCCATAGTCTTATTCTTAAGTTCATTTTTATTTTTTTAGTTGTTAATGCTTTCAGTTGATGTGTGTCACTGAAAGGAAAAAACAAATCATAGTGGCTTGACTTAATGTAGCAACGCTACCTATCTTGTGCTTTTCAAGCATGTGGAATTCACTGCAAGCATTCTGCTTTCATAATTTTTTGTGCTTTTGCAAGCCTTTCTTTAATTTGAAATGTTTTGACTGAATATGATAGCTTTTCAGATAGACGGGCAGTCTAATTTCAATCCAGTGTAGGAGAAGGTATTTACAGGCTTTAAATCAACATTTGCTATTAGTGGGAGATGTATGTGTGTATGTATATGTATATGTATATATATATGTATGTGTGTGGAGTTACATTTAAAAAAAAAAGTTTGAGTACTTTTCATGGGCTTTGCGAAGGAAAAGTGATCAATAAGTAAACTGATTTCAAAAAATGTTGGGAATACGAGATACGGAAAGAAAACCAAATAGGCAGCAGATAGAATATGCTACTGTAGTTACCACATTGTTTTGTTTTCTTTTGTTTAGCTGATGTGTTGGTATGTGTCATTTGTTTGCTCGTCTGTTCGGTGTATGTGCCTTGGCAGTCTGCATGAGGAAACCTGTCATGAAAAGTTACGCTTGGCTTTCACCTGGTCAGAGGTCCTTGTCATATCTTCTCTCCAGTGATGTTGAGTGTCATACACACAGTCACATTCCCTAAATATTCACAGAGACAGTATCTGATACATTAACCTGCAAAGATTGTATATTGTTCTGAAAGAAATTAATATTTAATCATCAGCTGTGGTTAAAAATAAAAACTATGGTAAATAACTTAACTTAGAATTATTAACACTACTAGAGATAGTTGATTTTGCCTCTACCTGTCAAAAAATTAAAGGCATACATATCTTTTAAATCTTTAATTTGAATTAACTATACTTATTTTGCCAAAAGTATAATGATCATATTTGTCATCCCATTTTAAGTGAGTGCCAGTAGTCATGTTTTTATTATGTTATTTGATCGTTGCAACTACTGTCCCTTTTTATGTTCCAACCCAATGGAAGCCTTTACCTGCTGTTATCACACATACATGAATACATAGGTGAAGAGGCGAGGTTACATACAACCTCTGTAGGAGAATAATGATACTGTCTACTTAAATGTCATAAAAGAAAGCTGCACAATCCAACTACATAAATTGTATGTGATTGTGGTCTGCTTACTTCCATTCGTTTTTTTCTAACATTTATCCTATTTTAAAATTTAACAAAATTATTCCTGTGCTTGATTGGCTATCTTCAATTTGCAGCCATTCTTTTGCAAAGGACACTGTCAAAAATTAACAGATTATATGGCAATTTCAAACCAACAAGTGCTTTTTCAGAAAATTTAAAGATTCCTATGCAGGTTAAGCTAGAGCTAGGAAATTAAGCTGCCCTCTACCATTTCACAAATTGAAAGTCAGAGAAAGTGTCTTAACTACCTAGGCTGTGAAAGTCATGCAGACGGACTATTGGAGGAGTGGGTTGTTACATTGATCGCTTTCTTGCTAAGGGGAAAAAAATCAGTAATCTTTAAAATAGGAAATTTACAGAATTCTTTTTTAAATAAATGACTGTGTCCTTTTAAATCATTAGCAATTTTTATAAAATATAATATTATACCTATTGTGTTTTTAAAAATGGACCAACTTTCTTTCTTATGGTCTATTTTTATAATCTTCAATTCCTTGAATCAAAATTTATTTTTATACGGGCTAAATATTTCCCCCTCCCCCATTAAATCAAAAGCCTAACCTATAGTAGGCCCTCAAGAATTGTTTGTGAATGAATGAATGATGGCATGTTTTCAAGCTTCTAATATATTATTTAATCAGCAAATGATTCTGCAGCTTTGAAATCATTCCCAACCTTAGTGGCACCTCTGATTTTCCAATGAATCCCGTTAATGAAACTTTTTTTTTAAGTATGATACTATAAGTATATTTCATTTGATACCAAAATAATGTGGATTTTTTTCCAGCCCTGTCATAGTGGAAATACCTCACTTTGGGTCTATGAGAGGAAAAGAGAGGGAACTCATTGTTCTTCGAAGTGAAAATGGAGAAACATGGAAGGAGCACCAATTTGACAGTAAAAATGAAGATTTAACTGAATTACTTAATGGCATGGATGAAGGTAATTATGATGAATCTTTGTTTCTGTAAATCTCTGCAGGAAAAATATCAAAGGAATAACTAGACTAAAAGAAACATTCTGGACTTCACACATTTGTATTTCAAGCTGGGAATGAGGTTCCTCAACGTTTGTGGCTGTTTTCTGTATGTAAGGCATGAAGTTCCATTTAATGTAACAAACGTTTTCCCTTATAATACTAGTGTACAAGTAACGGTTGTGATTCTTTCATCAAATACGTCAATCTTTCCAAAACCCAAGAAAGTTTTCTAAGTCAAAGATGTATAAAGAGGGGGTGAAAAAATAGTGGAAGGTATGCAAAGTATGCAGAGCATTTGTAAGAAAATACGTTCACATTTTATTTTTGGAATTATTACTTTCAGACCCTTTCTTCTATCAGTTTTCCCCCAGATTCTTCCAGTATTCTTCATGAATGTTTAATTTCTCTTGAGCTGCAATCCATTTTAAAAAAATATGCTTCAGGCTAATTATTGGAGTCTTTGTTGCTGCAGGTCTTACTCTTTGACCTATAAGACTGACGTAAACTGAGCATGTCCCTTCCTCATACACACCTCAGGCTGTCTAACCCTTAGAATCAAAGCCGTTTTTCTGAGGTGTGCAGACATTAGGAATGGACTTACTTTGAGAGTAGGTACTTGATGCAGTTTTATAGACCAAGGTCATCATAAAATAAAGCCAGTCTTTATTTTATACTGACTTCCTAATCACTACAAATCCATCAGTTGTTTTAAATAACTGCTTTATTGGAGATATAACTCACATGCCATAAAATGGACTATCTGAGGGTTTAACTCACTTATTTCTGGAATGCTTCCAGAAAAGTCACTCCTTGTTTCAAAATGTGGACAGAGGGGCTCCACAGATTCAAGGGTGTTTGAGGGATGACCATGGACAAGTTCTTTGATCCCTGTGAGCCTTTGTCACTTCTGTAACATGGAGATTACCTTCCTTGCATTATAGGATTGTTGTTAAGAAAAAATAATTATGTGAAGACTAATGAAATACAGTCCCTGTCACATATAAGCCCTTGATAAATATCAGTTGTTGTCACTATTATATTATTATATAGGCTAAAAAATTGTCATGCCAAAGGTTTTGCATAAGATAGTTCATTACAGCCAACCAGGAATTTCGGGTGTCTTTACAGCAAGGGGAGGGAACTAATGATTGTTGAGTGTCTAGCATTCATGAGGCACTAATAAACGCCTGTGTATATGAAAATCTTAAATGAAAGCATAGTCCTGAAAAATGGGAAGTTTTAATCCCACTTCAGAGGTAACGGAACTGAAGTATAGACATGTCAAGTAACATATAAGGTTACCCCAACTAAGTAGCCTCACCAGGGTTGAAATCTAGTCCTACCTGTTTTCAAAGACATTTAACTATATCCCCCTTATTTTAGAAATGTGTGTCTTGTGGAGAAGAAAATAAACCTAAAGGGGAAAATTCCTACAAACCTGTAGATTTAAAGGTCCAGAGGGATAGTCATTTTAAATGTTATGTATTTAATGAGCATACATTAAATGTCTCTTCATAATACTGATATTTATATCACCATCTCCAACTTCAGATAATTTCTGATGGATAGGAACATGCAATGGCAAATAAGATTTTTCATTTTTATTACCTTAACTTATTTCAAAGCATGAAAAATAGTCATTCTCTTAGAAGGACATTTATAAGAATGTATAATCAAGAGTTTTAAAAAAGAATAAATACTAAGAGAATGAATTGAATTAGCATTTTGAAAATAAAAATAATACAGATAATTCAGAATAAAAATCTGAGAGAATAAGGGAAATGGGTTTTCCATAGAGGATAGTTTGTTTTTGTTTTAAGGAAAATAAAATATAAAAATATTTTCATATATCCATATTTCTTAAATGCTAATGTAGATGACTAATCTTTAAAATGGAGCATCCACTACACAGAATTTTCTCCTTTGTAATGGGTAGCGACCTTGTTACTGTGAGCTCCGAGAGCAGGGTACATGTCTTGGTTACCTTTGAGTCACCAGTGTCAGGCACAGAGCTGCTTTAGACTAACTCATGCAGTCCGGTGAGTGAGCAGAATGAGGAACCGCAATATTATAAGATGTAGCTTTATGGAAGAAAGTTCTCATTAGTTCATTTCCTCTACCCCAAACTTTGTTAGTGTTCATCTCCAGGAGAAGAACAGTTAAAGAGGAGCATTTACTTTGAGGAAAGTACTGGAGAGTAACTATATTCTAGCAGGAATATTGAATATTCAAAGACAGTGCTGTCCAATAGAACTTCCTATGGTGATGGAAATATAAACACTGTGCTTTCCAACAGCCATCACTAGTCACAGGTGACTCTTGAGTACTCATCATGTGGCTAGTGCAACTGAGGAAGGGAAGTTTTAATTTTGCTTAATTTTAAGTAATTTTAAATAGCCATGTGTGGCCAGTGGCTATCTCATTGGACACTGAAGTTCTAGCAAAAACCACCTAATATCCTAATAATAAATTCTTCTTCATTTTTTAGTATAAATGATAGTATCTCCTATCAGGCAGAAATAGAATTTTTTTTTAAAATTATGTGGAATGGAGTTCCATAATTTCATGCTGACATGACTTTATTTTGTTTTTAATAAACCAATTTTCAAATAGGAGTGAGTCATGTCTTTGCCTAGAGAAATGATTCACCATACTAAGGTGTTTTAAAGAAATGAAGATGTAGCCCTCTGTCCTGGATTCTGTGTGTTATCTTGGAAATAGTAGATAGAGTTTCTATGCTACATTTTTAAAGACCAGATAAACTTGGGTTCCATTTTAGACAATTAAAAGGAAATGTAAATACTTTCGGGCTTAAAAATCAAGCACTGGAGAGCCAGAGCAGCAAAGATGAGGACTGAATGTTCAAGGCACAGTGGTTTTCTTCATGTATTGAATTTTAAAATAATAATTATGAAGATCCACTACACACCTTTTATAATTGAACCTCCATTCTTCAGATTTCATACCCAGCTCAAGCCCCACTTACCGCCGTTCTTCTTCTGTTCCCAAAGTTTCTTTTTATTGGGACACCCCCTAACCCCTGTAAAAACAGGCAGAAAGAAAAATCATTCGAGCTCTAAAAGCATAAAAAGCAACCCTTCTTTTTCCTTCCAAGTCCAACTAGTCAAAGTTTTCTCAGGAGAAGTGTTAGCGTAGTGTGGGAGGTTTCGTGTTACCTCCCACACTATGTCCCTCCCAAGTGGGCACCCTTTTCTAAATCACACAGACACCACTAGGGCCAGTGGAAGCCCTGGTCACAGTTGATGGTGGTGACACTCGTCCCATCACCACCACCCACTCAGGAAATAGCAAATAAATAGGTGGAGACTTCCAAAATCCGGACTTCTGACTCAACTCGAGTTGTTTTTCTACATTACTCCTTTGCCTTTGTATGTTTTCAAATGAAGGATGCCTATGAAACTACTTTGTGGGGAACAAAAATGCTACCTAAAGGTCAGCTGCTATGTAAATGTTCCATTACTAACCAAGTAACCCTCTTAGTTCATGTCTGACTCAAAAGGATATTGTCATTGCAAAATAAGGTGCAAGCCTGTGAGACTAGAGCCTCCGTGGTTATGCTAATGAAGGGGGTGTGTCAGCAAGGCTCTATTCTAGTAAGAGGCTAGAATGACACAGGACAGTTGGTCTGGGTGTGAAGAGCCTGCTGTTACCACCAAGGTATCATGTGGCAGGAGCAACTTTTCTCTCGGGCAGCGGACACAGATCTTGTTCTAGCACTTGTCAATTCGTGTTTTCTCAGCAGAGAAAAAGATACCGCAAAACAGAGAATACTCATTCTGCTTCCCAAAAAAACTCTTTACAGTGTACCAGATTAAACCCACTTCATAAGTTTAATTAAAACCTTACTTTAATTAAACCCACAAAGTTCATTTACACATGTTTAAAATTGTGCCTCCAAAGCCAGACCCAAGGGGTGTTTTGTAGTTTGCAGTTATGCTGGACCTGGGAGTATTTGATTGGTGGAAGAATTCTTCCTCCATAGAGGTCTTAACTTAAAAATTGATGAGACACACTGAGTCCTGCACTATCCAATACAGTAGACACTAGCTACATGTGGTTATAGAGCACTTGAAATGGGGTTTCTACAAATTGAGATATGGATGCTATGAATGTAAAATACATGATATACAAAGATTTAGTACACCTCCAAAAGTAGACATATTGAGTGTCCCCAAAAATGTATACACACACTGAATAATTATAAAGCCAATGTTTATTAAAATACATTTCATTTTCAAAATTGAGCTATCAGCTGTTACAGTATGTATACATTTTTGGGGGGACAGCCTGTATATCTCATTAAAAATGTTTATGTTGGTTACATGTTGAAATGGTAATATTTCAGAAATACTGGCCTAAATATAACATTGTTAAAATTAATTTCACCTGTACCTGTTTACTTTTTAGTGTTTCTATAAGAACATTTAGATATTTACATATGTGGCTTGCATTATATTTCTTTTGGGCAGTGCTTCTCTGGACAGTGTGTAGACTTTGTTTCACATTACCATTAGATTTTAAAATCAAAATTATTGCTACCTAAGTATCACAAGAATGCTTTGGGGATATATGAATTATGCTATGATTTTAAAATCTCAGTCACTGTATTGGAACAAAATGTTCCTAAACTTGTCCAAACAATGTTATAATGCTAGGAAAATACTCTCTCCCTTGTTGTGATTGCTTAAGTTTCAGATGAGAGCAAATGAGATTTGAAGATAATACATTTTAGATTTAATAAATTATACTATTGGAATTGGAGTCAGGAAAGGAAAATTGATACTTATAATGTTACATAACAGAAAATAAATTTTCTGTGATTTTTTATCTAACTATATCAACAATATTTTAGAAACAGACTTCTCAGTTAAAAATTGCAACTTTGCTTCATTTCAGTGAAGCAAACTTATTTGTTTTTAATTTATCAGCCCTGAGACAAATA